GTCAAAACGACTATTTCCTAGGACAATGACTCCTTGAGTAACTTCCAAAGAGTGAAACATTGAATAAAGAAAATCTACGATTGGCAACGATAAGTCGCAAACACTATCTTTGTATCTTGTGACTCACATCCTTGAATGACTCAACTTGTTGTATTAACTACACCCTTGAAATACCTCGCTTGATCAATCTTGAAAAGATTGAATTCCATTCTTTGAAAACCAAAGATGTTCATGATACTGATCTTTGAAAACTATACCCTGTGGAATACGTGGCTCGATCACAATAGTAAAACTACCCTGACTTGAAGTATTATGTTGAACCTCTAGTTGTGAACTACAAAATGATTGATGCGATTACGCTATCTTTGAATATTATTATCAATGATCTTATTGACCAAACAAACCCCGTTATGACCCTAACAAAGGAATGTATGAGTAGTAACCATAAAAAAATGACGTCAGAATGATCAAGCTGAATCATTCAAGCAAAAATCCCGAATTTACATGCGATGTTGGTGTAAGAACTCGTACGATTCCTTACTCTTTGAATTCGTGAATTGAATCACATCCCGAAGATATTCTCTTCTTCCCTTGAAACAAGATCAACCATAGTGTTACAATCGAACCTGTCGCTATCATGAACATATTTTTTTTTTCCAAATTGATGAAAGAAATTTGAAATACAACAAGACATAAATGATACGCTACTCGAACGTCATCACCTATGAATACAAAGACTCATTAACGATACTGAGAGCTACCATGAAGTGAATGAAGAAATATTCCAATGTAAATCGATGATCAATCGACAGTACTTCCTCATAAATGATGCTTCATATTCTGAAAAATCATGAACACTTAAAATCCATTTAATGTTATCTATGAGTCGTTGCTGAAGATGTCTTAAAGACTTAGAAGATCACACTATGACGTATGAATTGAAACAAATCCCTAACTATACCTTCCGTTAATATAATGATTCGAAACTACAAGGGCTATTGAAGAGCTTTCGATCAAAGAATATTGTTGATCAATGACGTATAAGCGAGATCTGTGAACAAACAAAATTATGTGCAAATATGTCAAGTATACTCCAAAATATGATGTAAAGGAAACTTATTTAATTATTTTTGACTTCAAATGGGAATCTGTAAAAAGATGTATGAATAACTTTGTTAATCTCTCGAAGATAGAACGAGTATGATGACAATAACGGTTTGAGAATAAGTATTCGTAGGGATAACGACGTAATCATAATGAATGAACATGACGGAGTCATGNACTCAACAAAGCATTATTTCTATGTTTGACCAAAAATGAAGGAATTTTTGGAGTCAATGATTTTTGTTAAGATTGACTTTTATGGATAGGTCTCGAAGAGACGAATCCAACGGTATATTTTATGAATAAATCTGATGTACAGAGGTTCAGTTATGACATTTTAAATATGTAATTTGTATAAAAATGAGAAAAGGTCAAAGATGTGAACTTTTGTAAAATGATTTATTGAAATAAATATTTATATTTAATAATATTGATTGAATATGAGACTAATTTTAATTATATATCAATTAATTCAATTTTGACTCTGTCAAAGTCAACACCCAAAAATATGCTGTCAGAAAAAGTATTTCAAATAAATATAAAAGTTATATCATTAAATAGAGTTTGGATGTCTGATCGCAATAGTGTAAATGAATTTTAATTTGGATAAAGTTGGACCAAAAAGTGTACCCCAATTGAGATAATTTAATCAAACTAAACTGGAAGGAATTAAATTAGTCGCCCCCTCCACTCACCTTAATCGACGGAAATCACAGGCTATCTACGCAACTCCCTCTCCCAGGCTTATATATAGAGCAATTCATTCTTCATCATCTCCACACCAAAATAATCCCATTAGTTAGAGGAGAGTTTAGAGAGTTGAGAGAAGCTGTCCGGAGAGCTTCCCGTCGCCGGAGCAAGCCATGGTGTTCGCCGGAAGTTTCGCCATTTTTCCGCCGGAATCATCGTTTTACTTCGAAGTAAGCCCGTAGATATATCTAGTGACTAGAAAGTTCGTATAGATCGTTTCTACGTTCATAAACGATCATTTGGTTGAGTTTTGTGTTTAACATATGTGAAGAACCAAGAATCATAAACCTTGAATTTGTTGTTAAAACTTCGAATTGATGCCTCTAAAATGATCTACGAACCTTGGAGAACATTTCTATATAGTTTAATTGAAGTTTGGTGACCAAAAATGGAACTTGAGAAAAATGGGTTAGAGGTTGAAGATGATGAATAGTGAACCTTCAATTTCCTGCATTTTTCAACGGAACGGACGACCGTTCGGACCCAACGGTCGACCGTTACGAACATTTTTAAGCCCAAAAATGCTATTTTTGAAGCTATAAAATCCTATTTTTTTTATATACCAATCAATTATGATCCATATAAAAATAATTGTTAAAAATAAAAATGATGTTCGACAAATAAAATTTTATGTGATGTATGACGGTAAGCTAAGGTGTTAACACTCGATGCTAGGCCGCTATTTGTTATTAGATATTGTGATGATTATTATTGATGTTGTTTATGATTAGACTTTGATGAATATTATTATTAAAATAATAATTACGGATGATTAAATCATGATTTAAAGAAAATGAATATATTGATGATTATGAAAATGATGTATATTGTTAAGGATATCTAGAAGAACTCTAAGATATACCCACTTAGAAAATTGATGATGATTATTAAGGATATCTAGAAGAACTCTAAGATATACCTCCTTGACCAATTCATAATTCGGGGTTAAAACGTACGTACGGGATCCAGACCGGATATCACCCACCCGACAGATCACTGTTCGGTTTGGTACGTAATCCACATGACTCTTAGGGTGGATTATCGATTCTTGTGTTCTGCATTAAACTATTTATAGTTTAAGGGCCTGGTTAGAAATATTGCCTTAGACTAGAGATAGCTAAGAGCTTGTATAAAAATGATTTGGCCTTAGATTAAGAATAATTTAAGAGCACTAATGAAATATTGAATATTGAATATATCATGAAATGACTTAAAATAAAATATTGTGAATATCATGAATAATGTATGCTTGAAATATGTATTGTGTGCATGATATCAAATGGTTAATTATGAATTGAGATTCAATTTATATGGATGTTCGATGCATTAGATATGCTTACTCAGCTTTACCGCTGAGCGTGTAGTGTGTTTTATTTGCTACACGCAGGTCAATAGAATGATGTGACATGATCCTGGAGGCAGACGGAGGCAAGATAGTTGGAATGGATGTGATTGTTTTGAATTAAAGAATATAAATAAATTATGTTTGTGGTTATGATTTGTTAAGCTTCCGCAATATTGAAAACTCCGTACTGTTTATATTATGAAAAATATTATTATGATAAATAAAAGTGTTTGAAATGTTTTAAATGTTTACGAATACCAAGTTTATACTTTAGTCCGAAAGGGGCTGCACAGACCTGGATGGATTGAGGTGTTACAACAATAGTCTATGAATTAAGGGTAGAACTATTTTTGAACTTGGAGAAACGGTAATCTATTATTAGTAGTCGGTTTCATCAAAAAATACAGTTTTTATTGCCACAGTTGTCAATAATTAGTTAAGACTACTATTTCTTAACAGAAGTCTGGTTTCACAGTGTATAACTGTTTTTAAACTTATAAGAAATAGTAATCTATTGTTATTTGTATGTTTCATATGGTTTTTTTTGCACAATTGTTTATTATAAGAATAGAGGACACCCTTGTAATAGTAGTGTATTTATATAGCGTAGAACTGTTTTTGAAATTCATAGAAACCGTAATCTATTACAAGTTGTCTATAATAAATTAAGAATACCCTTCTTAAACAATAGTTAGACTATTAAAATATCACACATACAAAAATACAAACATTTTTTAATATTTTAAATTCATAAAAAGCCTATGTGGGACTCGAACCCACATTTCCGTGCACTTTTGCACACGGCACTCTACCATTGAGCTAATAGGCTAAGAAAAGTAGCTCAAATAGTATAACAATGTTATTATGCTAACAAAGCGTCTCAACGTCATGCTGCCTAAAGAGTGACTTATTAAAAATCCTCATCATCTCAAATGAGGATTAATAAAAATGCTCTTTATCAATAAAATGGCTTACTACAGTACCATTTACTTCTAAGATAGTTTCTCAGGTAGTTACAAAAGTATTAGGAAAATCTTTTTTGAATAATGATTTAGCATCAAAGATTGCTTTAGTTGGAGCAATAACTTTCACAACCAAACTCTCATTTGCAAACAGAATAGGAGTACCTGCACTATTAGCCACAACCGAGTCATTATGCTTAAAAACAAAAAGATGCTGCAAAAGTAACCTCATGAGCATCATTTGTACATGCTGTTTTAACCTCATGTGGATCAAGAATAACATTTTGTTACTTATCATGTCCTGATTCTTTACTAAGCACTTTAGATTCTAGATAATAGATAGGCTGTGAACTAATACATGGACTAAAAATTCTTGCTTAGCCAAGGATGCAGAAACTATAAAAGGGGCAAGGGCTTCTTTTTTCTACGAGGGATTGACTGAAACACGAGCTATCAAAGTACCTATTTCCCAAAGAGGATTGTTGATAACCGTGCCTTTCGAAGTTATTCTCATATTCTGTTTAGACTACCATAAGCCACATCCTTGAGCGTACTATGCTTAATGGAAGAATCTGCAGCACATGTAACAAAAACATTTGTGGAAAAGTACACTACTAAAGCTTTCAACTTGACAGTAACTCACAATGCCCCCTCTATAGTCTGTAAAAAAAATCATAAAGGTGAGGCAGTGAAGAGAGGACAAAAGAAAGGTTCCAAAAACCTCGGGGGAAAAACTTCAGTAATATCCATTCCATTTTGTAGTTGTCCAGATAACCTGTTCTATTTTGTTTGGCAATGAACAAAATGAAATGGTGTACCACAAGGTTACTATTTCTCTCCCCCCATCAATTTCCAAACAGACCACAATTGTCAACGCTTCAATCAGTCCATCCACCAGAAAGCCACTGTCCAACTCCAAAACCTTGGCCAAAGGCGTCAATAGGCATAGAACAGATGACCTGGGAAGACATGAGCATTTACAGTGCAGTATTCCTGACCATGAACAACAACACATTGGTTTCCTTCAAGAACACAGCTGCAAGGCCTCACCCAGGCAGTAACTGAGTTCATAGAGCAAGAACACCAGTACGAAGGCAAGAACATAGTTCATAATCAACAAGAACAGCAGGTCATTCCACAAATTTCAATCCCTCAAATAAATGTTGTTAAAACACCATAAACAACCTCTCAAACCCAGCGCAACAACAAAGTTAATAAAAAAAAGCAAGCAAAAATTGACAGAATCGCAGTCCAAATCCAGTACATACAAATCCCAAAAATCCTCAAATCATGAGGGAGTTCAAATGAAATTGAAATCAAGCTTTAAAAGAAGGAGGGGTATCGCAAACCACTCAACATATCACAAGATTAGCCATCAAAAGTGTCCGGATTCAATAGAATCGGAGAGATAAAACTTCGAGTGAACAGTACCTTCCATGGCGTGGGACTGACGACGAAGGGTATGAATTGGCGACTGGGCAGTCGGCGCTGGGCAGTGGGACTGACGGTGAAGGCTCTCAGCGAATTGGCGATGGCTGGGACTGACGGCGAAGGCTCTCGGCGAATCGGCGAATCCTTTGCTCTCGAACAACACAGGCGCGATGGCGATTAAGGTTGGGCTATTGAGTGAGTGGTGTTCTTTGAACGGAAAAACGAAATTAGAAAAGCAGTAGAATGAAATTGGGAAGAGAGAGAATGAAATTGGGAAGAGAGAAAATGAATTTGATGATAATTGGGAAGAGGCAGAATGAAATTGAGAAGAGGGAGAATGAAATTGGGAAGATGGAAAATGAATTTGGTGATAATTGGGAAGAAAGAGAATGAAATTGGGAAGAGGGAGAATGAAATTGGGAAGAGGGAAAATGAAATTGGTGATAATTGGGAAGAGAGAGAATGAAATTGGGAAGAGGGAAAATGAATTTGGTGATAATTGGGAAGAGGGAGAATGAAATTGGGAAGAGGGAGAATGAAATTGGAAAGAGGGAAAACTTGCCATTTTTAGATGTCCTTCCAATTTCTTCCAACAACGATTTCATGTAATTTGATGATATCTTATTTGATCTGATCTTGTCTGATCTAATATGTTAAGATCTAGTCTGGTTTGATCTGACCTGAGTGAAATTATATGTAAGGTTGTTGATCATTTGATAAAATAAAATACTCTTGTCACCTCTTATTTTGTAGAGTTTTCGATGTAGTTTTTAAATATAATTTTTTATGCGTTATTTTTTTACCAATTTGCAAAAAATATGATTTTAAAAACCACGGGGTTTTACACGTTAATCAAAGTAAGAAATTCTTTTTGGGACGGAGAAAGTATGAGTTTTGAAATGTTAAAAAAAGTTGTTTGGAGAGATCTAAAATAAGATCTTATATGACCAAAAATATGAGTATTTAGAAGAATTGCTATGAAAAGGGGGCGCCCGAGAAAGAAGAAGGCTAAGGCAGAGGCAACGGAGCAGAATTCTCTGAAACAGAAAACAGAAATCGCAACACCAGAGACGGGAGAATCATCGACTGGTAAGAATGATACTCCTCTAGAATCGCCATCGGTACAGAAACAAAACCTAGATATGGATCCACATGTGAATAATCAGGGAAAAGGGGATGGGATTAGCATGTCTGATAAGAAGGAATCTACTGAGGGAACACCAAGCCATAAGGAAATTCAAGAAGTACCTATACGTACATTTGTTGAGGTTGTTGGTGCTAAAGAGGATATCAAATCTGAATTAAGCTTTGTACAAACAAAAGAGATTAATGGGGTCAAAATGGCTAGAATGTCACAAGAGGATCTGATGGATATAGCTAACTATTGGGAAGCCTCACTCATATGTTGTGTACTAGGGGCCAACCCACCCTTGAAGATAATGGATGGCTTCCTAAGAAGAATCTGGAAGGAGTATAAAATTGAGGAAATCTCAGTGTTAAGAGAAGGGCAGTTTGTGATACAGTTTGAGAAAGAAACAGATAGGGATGATGTTTTCAAGAGGAAGTATTACTTTATGGATAACAAACCTATGCTTGTCCAAAGATGGAAGTCTGGGTGGAAGGTAAATCTGGAGGAGCTAACTGATATTCCCATTTGGATTAGGCTGCCAGATCTGGAACCAAAATACTGGAGTCTTACTGGACTAAGTAAAATAGGAAGCATTGTTGGGAAACCTGTCAAGAGGGACAAGGCTACTGCAACAATGTCAAAGATGGGCTATGCTAGAATTCAGATTGAAGTGAGCATCAGACAACAGTTCCCAGAAAATATTAAATTCATTGATGTGGAAGGAAGAGTGGTCTCACAAAAGATTGACTATGAGTGGTGTCCAATAACCTGTGAGAAATGTAAGAAGCTGGGACATTCGGAAACAGTATGCAGAACTAAAGAGGTCGTTCATACCCAGGGCAAAAGGACCATGGTATGGAGGCCAAAACCAAAGGCTCAGGAAAAGGAGTCTAATGAGGGGAATGAAAATCTGCCCTTACAACTGGAGGAGGATAAAAAGGAAGATGTTTCTGAGGAGTTCCAAATGGTAGACACGAAGAAAAGTGCTAAGAGGGTGATACAGTTTGAAGAGCAGTTTGTGAATGGCATAAATAGGGTATTCAACGAAGACCCCTACGGGGGACATTACCCATTTCTCTCATGATAGGAGCCTGGAATATTAGGGGCATGAACAGCCCTAATAAACAAGCAGAAATAAGGAATTTTATCAATAGGAATAATGTGGGGTTGATGGCCATTCTGGAGACCAAAATAAGGGAGGGAAACTTCCAAGCAGTTGCAAATAAAATAAGCGCAAGGACTGGAGTTCAATAATTAACCATTAGGACCATCATCTGGGGAGGATCTGGGTTACGTGGAATCCAGCTACATTCAATAATGTCACAAAAGTTAAAAGTACGGACCAACTCATTCATTGTGAGATAAGAAGGATAGGGGAGGATCCTCATGATGCAATTACTTTTATCTATGGCCATAATGATCCAAGCAAGAGGAAGGCTCTATGGATGGATCTGAGACAACTACAGGGCAGTACTAAGAAGGCTTGGGTGATTATGGGAGATTTTAATTGTGTGTTGGGGATGGATGATAGAATGGGGGGGAACCCAGTGGGTCAGGAGGAGGTAAAAGATTTCCAAGAATGTATGAATTGGTGCGGGTTAGAGGAAATGCCCATGGAAGGGAACTATTTCACCTTATCTAATAGGCAGGGACAAGACAAGAGAATTTACTCCAGAATTGATAGAGCATTGTGTAATACAGACTGGATGATCAAACACAATACTAAACTAATTGTTAAGGTGGAGGGCATATCAGATCACTCACCTCTGGTAATTATCCAAGGAAATACTAGAACCAGTAAAAGCTTCAGATATTGTGATATGTGGGCACTGGATTCAAGGTTTCCAGACACTGTTAAGAAGGTTTGGCTCAAAGATAGATCAGGAAGACCTATGTATCAAGTATGCCACAAATTGAAGGAACTGAAGGGACAACTTAAAATGTTACATAAGAATAATTTTGGGAGAGCTTTCCAGGAGACTGATACCATTAGAGAAAAACTGCACAGTGTCCAAGCTGAATTGAAAAAGGATCCTAAGAATGAAAAGCTGATTCAGGAAGAAAAAGATTTGATTCATAAAATGCAAGTCTCTATGAAAGCTTCACTTCTGATGATGAATCAAATGTATAAGAAGAGTTGGATAACAGAAGGGGATCTAAACTCTAAACTCTTCTTCTCATGGCTGAGAAGAAGAAGACTCCAAAATCAGGTTCATAGTATAAAGAATAAGGAGGGCAAGCTGGTGGAAGGAGAGGGAAAAGTAGCAGCAGTCTTGTTGGAATTCTATGAAGCACTTATTGGATCAAATTTGGAGATAAAAAATATTGACAAAGAAGCCATGGAATGTGGGGGGAAACTGGATATTGAACAACAACTTGGCCTGTTGAAAGATATCACTGAAGAGGATGTGAAGAAGTGCCTATTTTCCATACCTAATAGTAAGAGCCCAGGTCCTGACGGATACAGCAGTGGCTTCTTCAAAAACCAATGGAGGACGGTGGGAGGACTGATCACACAAGCAATATTAGAGTTCTTCTCTAATGGAAGAATGTTAAAACAAGTAAATGCTACAGTACTGACTCTAATCCCCAAAGTTGAAGCACATTCTGTTGCAAGTGATTATCGTCCTATAGCCTGTTGTAACGTCATCTACAAAATAATTTCGAAGATACTTTGTAGTAGGTTAAAGGAGGTATTGCCAATCATTGTCAACCAGAACCAAGGGGCTTTTGTGAAAGGGAGGGATTTGGCCCACAATGTTCTGTTATGCCATGAAGTGACGAGAGGGTATAATAGGAAAGGGATATCACCAAGATGCTTAATCAAATTGGATATAATGAAGGCATATGACTCAGTGAGTTGGAAGGCTATGATCCAAATCCTGGTCCTCCTAAACTTCCCCATCAGTTTGTAAACTGGGTGGAAGAATGCATCACGACTCCTTCTTTTACAATACAACTGAATGGTGAAGTCCATGGGTTTTTCAAAGGAAGGAGGGGGCTTAGGCAAGGGGATCCAATGTCCCCATTGTTGTTTGTGCTAGTGATGGAGTACCTGAGTCGACTGCTACAAAAAGTGGCACAGAACAAAGACTTTAAATTTCATCCCATGTGCAAGCAACTTAAAATTATCAATCTTTGCTTTGCAGATGATCTCATCATAGTATGCAAGGCTGAAGAGAGGTCCTTAAAGTGTATTATGGAGGTGCTACATACCTTTCAAGAAACAACTGGTCTGAGTATTAATAATGGTAAATCTCAAATTGTATTCGGTGGGGTTGATAAGAAAACTCAAGAAAAGCTCTCTTGCAGATAACTAAACTGCAGATGGGAGTCCTGCCTCTTAGATATTTGGGCAGTCCCATATCTGCTGCTAGAATCAGTGGCAAAAATTGTGACAGATTGGTAGCTAATATAACTGATAAAATTACCTCCTGGTCTACTAAACACATGTCTTACGCAGGAAGATGCAGGGTTATCAGCAGTGTGCTCTTTGGCATCATGACATTCTGGTGTAAATTGTTTATTCTCCCAACAAAGGTAATGAGGCAGGTACAGAGTGTATGTAGGAATATTTTGTGGGGTGCTTCTGTTAGTTATACTAAAAGACCTTTGGTTAACTGGGATGAAGTGTGTATGCCTAAAACTGCAGGGGGCCTAGGCCTAAGGAATGTGGTGTACTGGAATAGAGCTTATGTATACAACTATTGGTGGGATATTGATAAAGATAAGGAAAATTTGTGGGTAAAATGGGTACATGAATGGTATATTAAAGGGGAGGTGAAGAACTACGAAATCAGGGGTGACTGTTGTTTTTATTGGAAAAAGATCATAAACAATAGAAAATGGTTCACCAATATGGATATGTCAAAGGGGTACACTACAGAGATGGGGTATGCCTGGCTGCTGGAGGTGAAAGAAAAGCCAAACTGGATATCATTTGTTTGGAACAACCTAACTGTACCCAAACACCAATTCCTCCAATGGCTCATTAGTAAAGAGAGAGTTAGTACCAAGGCAAGACTAGCTAAAGTCATGGATATAATTAACATATGTGAATTATGCAGTGCAGCTGAAGAAGACCAATACCATTTATTCAGTAAGTGTAACATAACAAAAGAACTTCTTGCTAGAGTTTCAAATTGGTTGGACCTGAAAATAGAGGGCGAAGAGGTACAGGAGATTAGGCAATCTTTAATGAGAATTAAGGGGAGAAGGAGGAGGCAAATCATAAGTGCCTATGCGGCAGTATGCTATGCCATTTGGAGGGCTAGGAACAAGATGTTTCATCTTAAGAAAGAGCCACAAATGGAGGAGCTACTGAAATGGGTACAATTCACCACAACAACATACTGGACAAAGAGGGGGGGACCTTGAGTTTGTTAATTAAGGGTAGTACCCTAAATTGAATGTCTTGTTGTTATGTGTATTTCATATTGTAAAACAGTTTGAAGTGATGAATAAAGAAGGTGCATTTTGTTCAAAAAAAAAAGATCTCATACGGTTAAAAGTATGAATATCCTAAGAAATTGGATCAGTGTGAGTAACAAGTTCAGTTATCACTACTTCTAAAATCTTATTAGCTCAAAAGTATACGTATTTAGAAGAATTGGATCTGCGAAATTACCTTGTTATTATAAGTACCGGTAAGATCTTATATGGCCAAAAATATGAGTATTTAGAAGAATTGGATCTGTGCAAGTAACCAGTTTAGTTATCCGTACCGGTACCTTCTTATACGGTCAAAAGTATGAATATTCTAAGGAATTGGATCAGTGTGAGTAACAAGTTCAGTTATCAATACTTGTAAGATCTTATACCATCAAAAATATGAGTATTTAGAAGAATTGGATTTGCGCAATTACCTTCTTCAGATTTTTTTTAAGATTATATCAGATCTTATTGGATTTGAATTTAATTTGAATTCAATCTAATTTGATCTGATCTTATGCATTTATAGATTAAATCAGGCAAATAAGACACGACTTATATAATTAAATTGTTTTATTTTGAAGATTTGATCTGATCTTAATATATTTGAATTTGATTTTTTTAATATTTGATATGATCTTACTAGATTTGAATTTGATTTGATTCGATATTTTTGAAGATTAGATCTGATCTTATATTAGTCCGATTAGTTATATTAAAAACTCTTTTAATTTGATCTAGTTTAATCTAATTTGATTAGATGTAATCTAAACAACATATAAACATGATAAACTGAGATGCAGTGGGTCGCATGAAATATACAAGCAATCACACCTGATTGGATTTGATTTTATCTTATCCTATCTTATCTTATCTAATTAAGATCTAATTGGAATAGATTTAATCTGCTTGATCTAATTGTAGTTATATTAAAAAAAATTAATTCGATTTGATTTAATCTTATTTGATGAGATATGGTTTGATTAGATATCATCTAAACAACATATAAACATGTTAAACTGAGATGCAGTTATCTGATTATTTGAATTGGTATAATCTTATCTGTCTGTGTTTTTTTGAAATACAATAAGTCGGGGGCAACTTTTTTGGTCAAACCATGACACACTTTGAGCTCAAATTAAATATAATTTTAAATAATTATATGTTGTAAAATTTAATATATCAAAACTACAATTCAAAATAAAAACCTAAGTTTAATAACTTTATATTATAAATAAATATACTTTTTCCACAAATTATAGTCAAAGTGTTGCACAATTTGACTAAAAAAGTCAAAGTGTGACAATCTTTTTGGGATGGAGAATGTATAAAATTTGGTAATACTTTTTTTAAGAATATACTCCCTCCGTCCACAAATAAACTTCCCGTTGCGCGTTACGATGTTTGACTGAAATTATTTTCAAATCATTTTATATGTAAAATGATGTGAAATTTAAAAATAAAAATTACATATTAAAAAACTATATCAAAAGATCTACAAAACTAGAGGTGACATGACTATATTATTTTATCAAATTGGTGACGAAAATAGGCCAACAAAGTGAATAAAGTTTGACTCTGTGAATAGTGAACAGGAAGTTTATTTGTGGACGGAGGGAGTATATAATAAAATTTTTGTTCTGAACGAAATGAACAAATTTCAAAACAATTGGATTCCCTTCAAAAAATTGAACTCCCTTCAAAAAATATTGTCGAGGATGAAATTTTATTTAAGTGGGAAAAAGTCCACCCAAAAATTTAAAGTAAAAAAATTGGATTCCCACTAAAAAAGTTGATTCCTTGCCGAGAACCTGTCCAAATACATTCCTCTATCTCTTTCTTTTCAACATTCAATTACACCCTCAAATCCTCTTAGAGTGTCAATCTCCTCCCTGCTCTCAAGATCCGCCGCCGTGGTGACGATGGAGCTCTTGGCCACTACATCTATGGTCATAGAGAAGAAGTCGTAATGAGCTCTCAATGAAAGAGCTCTAAATGGGGGTTTCTCGTTCGCGACATGAACAATACCGCGAGGGCTGTTCTTGCCGATTAATCCGTCAATCCGAGCTTGTTGCTCCAGATTTTTGGAGCTCTGGTCTCGCCTACAGCAGGGGATTCCGTATAAGAGGTAATTTCGCTGTTTTTGGAGCTTGATTTTAAAGATTCAAAGGTCAACGCATGGCAGATTTTGTTCATTTCCGATCCTCTCTGGTTAATTTGTGTTGGTCCAAGCAATTTTGAGGGTACATCTCTTAATTTCAGAGTGTTTTGAGCTCCCTTTCAAGGTATGAACGTGAATTCATTATCCAATTGATTTTTCAATCGATTTGAGGATCTCTGGTGATTACGAATTCACTGTTCATCTCGGGACATTGAACATTTTTTTATACTTCTTCATGCTTGTTCTTTGATTATATCTATGGAGTTTCGTTTCGTCTGTTGAAGAGTTGTTTGTGTTGACCCTGAAATGGGGTTTGAACAAACTTGTGCGCTTTTACGGTTGTTCTTGCTCTGAACCTTGTTGATTATTTTAAGTGTTGATTAATTCTACGGTTTTTCTTGCTCTGAACCTTGTTGATTATTTTAAGTGTTGATTAATTCTACAGTTTTTCTTGCTCTGAACCTTATTGATTATTTTAAGTGTTGATTAATTCTATGGTTTTTCTTGCTCTGAACTTTGTGTGCTTCTTGGTTTGTACCACTGGGCATGTATGGGTCTGGTTTTTGTTGTGACATTGGTGTTTACTGCCGCTGTACACTTGCTTTGTTCCAATTGTTTGCTACCTGCTGTTATGCAAGTGCTGAATTTGAATAATATCTGAGGTTTGAATTCCTTGATATTACTTGTCTCGTGTTCATGGTCTTTGTTATTGTTTTTGTTCTATTGAGGACTGTCCTGGACTTGGTGTGTGCTACCTTCTGCTATGTTTCTCTTCCATTATAGCTTGTAATGGTGGCTTGAACCATTTTAGCACGAACTTGGGCAAAGTAATGAACAAAGCTTTCACCAAGATGTGTGTGTTGAAGGTATTTTTTGGATAGGAATAAGGATTACAGAACTAGTTAATATGTTTTGAAACAGCTTGTGTAGCTCATTTATGCTTGACATGGGAGGTACTTCATTGCCAGTACACACAGTTGATGCAGAAAATATCCGGCCAGCCTGAAGATTCCACAATTTACAACCATAGCGCCCAGTAGTTTCAACTATTCTTGGTTTTGTTACAAAGGTTTATTGAGAATGAATCGTTCGAGCATGGGTCGAGGCCAAAGGTATATGCCCGTACTAGGAATTCATTGAGTAAACTACTTCAAGTCCCTAAAGTTCAAGGTACAATTCTTTTAACAAGATTCACACATTAAGTGCCCATTTGGTTTGCATTTTTAGGCTTATCTGGGGAATTTCACCTCCTGCTCCTTCATTTTTAGGTTGTCGTTTGCTGTGAAAACCAACAATCAAGCTATCTGTTATGGGGAATTTCACCTCCTGCTCCTTCATTGAACTTGTCCCTTCAATAGCAAGTTCAACCAACTCTTTGGAATGGCTAGAGATTATACGTTCTATGCGGTTGTCTCCAACAATTGGTTCTTGATTCACAACGATCATTTCAGGAGTTATTGGGTTTCTGCTGGCAGGTGGGAGATTCAAGTTCAATCCACGAAAATTCTCAAGGATTGGGTTCCTCACTTGTTCCTCTGTAGGTGCAACAACCTGTATCATAGGAATAGATGGATTGAAGAGGTAGGCATGTAAAATATGTAAATTGTTAGGAAGATGATGTAAATATGAAGTTATTACATTTTAATAATATTTTAAATGTATGAATTTATATATTGTTCAATATATTGTATTTTTTGAATTTATATTTATTTAGTAATCAACAAAAGATTACAAATGTCCAATAAAAAATTCTACTACCATTCAAACGAATAGTTTGAAAAGTGTATGTACAACTACACAAACCCGTAGTGTTAATAACATTTAGACAATCAAAACAAATAGCTGTTTGAAATACTACAAAAATAGTAGTTCATATTTTTAAAATACAACGTGAAATAATAGTTGTCTGAAGCAAATTTCTTTAGTAATCTTTAGACAATCAAAACAAACAGTTGTTTGAAATACTACAAAAATAGTAGTTCATATTTTTAAAATACAACGTGAAATAATAGTTGTCTGAAGCAAATTTATATTTATTTAGTAATCAACACAAGATTACAGATGTCTAATAAAAAATTCTACTACCATTCAAACGAATAGTTTGAAAAGTGTATGTACAACTACACAAACCCGTAGTGTTAATAACATTTAGACAATCAAAACAAACAGTTGTTTGAAATACTACAAAAATAGTAGTTCATATTTTTAAAATACAACGTGAAATAATAGTTGTCTGAAGCAAATCTCTTTAGTAATCTTTAGAGTAGCTGTCTGAGAAACAATTTAACTACTGTCATAAAAGATAGTTTGAATACTTAAAGGAAAACTATAAAACACCGTTGTGTTAATAATCAATATGCAACTAAAACAAACAATAGTTTGAATAAGAATAATGTTAGTAGTCCATATTTTAGAAATACAACAAAAGATAACAGTTGTCTGATGCTATTTTTGTTTAGTAGTCTTCCGAGCAGCAGTCTGATACATCTTTCAATTACTTTTTAAAGTAGATGTCTATATTGTTGAACGACAACACCAAGAATTAGGAGTCTGAAGTTAAAAACAACAGTAGTATTCATTATAGATAGACAACAAAAAATCACAGTTCTCTTTAATTCTAAAGAACATATGTCTTACTCATACAAGGACAACACTAAAAGGTTGTACTCTAAAACATTACAAAACAGGTGTCGTCAACCATTTTACACAATTGTTTTTAAACAATAGTCTGTAAATATATCAGACAGCTGCTCGGAAGACTACTGAAATCAGCACCGAGAGAATACTAAAAGAAACAGTTGTCAGCATCTTTTTTTGACGTAGTGCCAGCAAATGCAACAGATAGTCTATTTTCTTTCAACGGGTAGATTATCCAATCAAACTATATATAGCTTCCTTAAAAGACTGGAGAAACATATGAGATAGCAAGCAAGATTACAACAATGACAAACTAAAACTATCTCATTCACAGTTAGCCAAAAAACTTGATAAAGAGAGATTTCTAAACTCCTTATCCAGAAGCAAACTTCTCCTCCTTCCAAAGAGCTATAGTGTAAACACTTGAAGGTTTCCTTGCCTCAAGTACCACACCACGTTGAAGGATACAACTTTTAATCAAACTTCTTGATTAAAAAGGGGGTACATCAACTTTCCTACAAGTTGATCTTGCAAGTCCTATTGTTCGGATCTTGTAGTTGTTGAAGAAGCGTGACCTTCGAAGGAACAACAAAGCCAGCACATGTGCAGTAGCAACATTGGCCTTGCGAAGATATACCGTGCAGAAATTCACTCAAGTGTAATTGTTGGTTCATTATTCAACAACCAACTACATAGTGGATTTTGAGGACGTAGACGGATTACCCCACCTTTGAACCTCGTTAAAGTTTGCGTGTCTCTCTCTTTTATCTTTACTTACACTTGCAATTATATTAACTGTGAAACTAACTCATCCATATTGATTACTGCTCTAATAACCCACCAACTTCCGCACACAATCTAAAGTTCACAAGGACTCTAGATTAACTTTCATTTTCACGTTTTCAAAAGAAACGAAAAAGTTTTTAAATTTGTAACAAAGTCTATTCACCCCCCCCCTCTAGACTTTGTATCTCACCACTTTGGGACCACCAATAACGGAGTAGTTTAATGTTGCGGAAGCTTAATATATAACAATTACAAAACATAATAATTTTATGTCTTTGAAAGCATCAATTCATTTCACATATCCACCCCGACCATCTCGCTCCCGTCTGCCTCCAAGAATCATCACTTCATTCATTTTGTTTACCTGCGTGTAGCAAATAAAACATACTACACACTCAGCGGTGAAGCTGAGTAAGCATATTTAAAGTGTCGAAAGTCTCAATCAAATTATCCCCAAGAAATACATAGTAACCAGATGTGGACCTCCTAGTGTCTGGGCATCCAGCCCAGTCAGCATCAGAGTAGACCTACAGAGAGTCTGTACTAGATGGACACAGAGATACGCCAAAGGTAGATGTGCCGCTAAGGTAGCAAAGAACACGTATGCTTTATAGCCATGACATGGACATCTTGTGGAGCATGTAGGTGAAGACAGAGCTACTGAACAACATACGAAATGTCCGGACGAGTAAATGTGAGATACTAGAGGGCACCTATAATGGAGCGGTAGAGAGCTGGATCAGCTGCTAAGGAACCAGATGTGATAGACAGCTTGGCCTTTATAACGACAGGGATGGATATAGGGCGACAAGAGACCATGCCAACTCGCTCAAGTATGTTGTGCACAAATTTTGTCTGATGCAGAAAGAGGCCATGAACTATCCAGTGCACATTAATGCTAAGAAAGAAGTGAAGGTCGCCCATGTCAGTCATAGGAAATTCTCCCTTGAGACTCTAGGTCAGCCTCTGAAGTAGGGAGTCTGAGGAAACAGTAAGGACGATATCATCCACATAGAGAAGAATAAAAATAAATAAATGATAGTGTACTGCCAGGGAACCACGTGCATAGTAAAGTTGGTGCATGACTCGATGCAAACCTTATGTAAAATCAAAATAAATAAATAGATAGTGTATTGATATGGAACCGCATGCATAGTAATGTTTGTGCGTGGCTCGATACAAACTTTATGTCAAATCAAGATAAATAAATAGGTAGTTTATTGCAAAAGAACCGCGTGCGTAATAAATTAAAGTTTGTGCATGGCTCGAAGCAAACTTTATGTCAAATCAAAATAAATAAATGGTTAGTTTATTGATATAGTATCGCGTGCGTAGTAATGTTAGTGCGTGTCTCGATGCTGTCAAATCAAATTAAATAAACGGGTAGTGTATTGCTAGCGAATCGCGTGCGTAGTAAAGCTGGTGCATGACTCAATTCAAACTTTATGTCAAATCAAAATAAATAAATAAATAAATAGTGCATAACTCTTCAACTTTGTACTTTTATAACAATAATCCTTACGTTTATTTGGTTATTCTGGAAATATTTACATACAAATCAAATACTTTCATTAATATATGTCATTTTTTGCTATTACGAAATCACTATAACTATAAATTACTAGCCATGCAACGCATGGGTACAGATTTAGTAATTTCAAGGCAGAGCTTGTTCTTTTTGTAAGATTAGTTGTGATCTAAATTCTAATGTTTTCTAAATGATCTTAATTCTTTCTGGTCTTGTTTGATTAAAGTTAAATTGATATGTGTTTCTAATTTAATTTGATTACACTAAAACTAAATAGTAAGTGATTAGAATACATTAAGGAGAACAACTAGTATAGCACTCTCGTTTTAAGCCCTTCACTTGAAAGAGTCTAGAATAAACCTTATGGGTTCGGATTCTAGAACATTCGAAACTCAATTCACACGGATCATATCAAGACAACCTTGACACCTCCTGGGCACATTTGACTTGCCATCCCTCACATGAGATCCCTCCATTTCCCCAAAACCATAGCTAGAAAAAATGGAAAATTGTACAATTGGTATCAGTATTATTTATGCAAAACAAATTGCCTGTTTACAGACAAATTTGCTTTTGTGATCACGTGCTCTCTTATATTTCTAAACCCTCCTATCTTACACCACATCTAAGTAATAAGTAATAACAATGTGGAGTAAATACTACTATATTGGTCCCTTTCAAAATACAAGCAAATCATCTAAAGTGGCATCAGCCTTTTGTATTTGAAGAACCATAAAAACAAAACGAAAATCACGAATCCCCCGACTCCTGTGATTATAAGAACCCACTTGAATGCACTTTCGTGCTCAAACAATGGGATTTCAAAATTCATGCCAAAAATCCCAGCCACGACTCCAAAGATTGCAACTACAAATGTTGCGGTCGTGAGTATCAGCTCAAACTGTATCAGCTGGTTTCGTACATTGTCCAATTGAATGTTAATGAAATCTTCTGTGTCGTCGATGTATTCCTTGAGCTGAAACCAGATAATAATGATAATTTCCATTTTTAATATACAAATTAACAAAAGGTAATAAAGAATCCATCCATTCGGGACAAAAGGGAGGGAGCATTTGAATAGGAGTTTAGAAAAAGATACCGAAGTCAACTTATTGAGGGTACTGTCAATGACAACAAAGTAAGCCTCCAATAGCATCTCAAGCTCTTCTATACTTTGATGAGCTTCTGTGACACTACTACTGCCTTCTGAACCTCTCATGCTTTCACGTCTGCTTCTCATGCTCAAACTCTTTTCAAGCTTCCTGTTGTGGTGGTGATGGTGGTTGTTGTCAGGAGGTGGTGAAGAGACAGGAGAAACCGGTGCAGAATCTGATGTCAAACCCTCATTTGTCTTGTACCCCCCCAGTATCACCACAGATTGATCACCACCGCCGCCATCATATGATGGTGATGCTGCTTCCATGCGACTTTTCTTTTCCGTAAGATACAATTCAGCCATGTCTCCATCATCATCCATGAGTTGCTCTATCTCATCCCTAACCTATACACTAAAAAAGTTTTTTTTTAAATAAAGAAACATCAAGGATAAAAAGCATGTCTTTTTTGATGTTTAAAGAACAAGGAAAGAAATAGAGCAATTCATGGGATACCTTTTGAACTCGACGGGTCAGTGCAACAAGTCTGCTTTTCAGTCGACGAACACGTTCCAAATTTAAGGTACTTATCTGTGATGTAAGTTCATCCAACAAAGGATATGCCTCAATTTCTAACTCAGATGCCTGAATCAATTTGAAGAAAAAGAAAGCAAAATCAAGCCCACAAATGAGTTATGGTATGCCCTTGATCGTAAGATTTGTATACGGTTCTGATTTGACAATTCTAACAGTGCTACAAATGATTCTTATGACCCCACAAAAGGTTATTTTCCTGACTTCATGATATATACTCCCTCCGTCCCCAATTTGATTACAAATTGTGGGTTACGGAGTAAAATTTTCTACTTTTTGAAATCATTTTATTTACAAATTGGTATATCAATAAGATATAAAAATTACATATTAAAAAACTACGTCAAAAGTTCTACAAAACAAGAGGTGACAAGAATATTTTATCTTATCAAATACTTAATGAAATCGCGTAAACAAACAAAAGTTATCGAGAGGAGAAAAAAAGATTGTAATCTATTTAGGGACGGAGGGAGTAATAATTATGAAATTGATATTTTTACTTGAAGCATAAAGTATGTTCAATTATTTACTTTTAGTTTTTAGTATAATAACATTTCTGTAATGGTAACTCCTAACTAAAAGCTAGAGCATTCATTTCCAAAAATCAGATTATTACATTATACCGAGACGAGTAGTTTTTATTTTTCAATTTTAAATAACTATCGTTAATTTGTTATGTACTACACTTACTTTGAGTCTTTGACAAGGGTCCCAAAACTCATACCCTAATACACAATGAATTTGTAATATTTTCACATGAAATATAAAATAATTATGATTTAAAAGGTCTACCTAGACTCAACTTTCTTTTTTTTTTTTTGAATCTTACAATCTGTTGTACATTCTACAATGCAATACTATAATCCAGATCCTGACTACAATGAGCCCATGGAATGCAATTACTTTATTTACTTAAGAGAACATAAGGAGTTAGAATAAACAAAAACTGATTAATAGATACGCAAGGATCCAACATCCGAACTCCTAATTCTTCAATCCAAACTTTTGAAATCATACTAAATGTGAAAATGATTTCAATTTGATATTAGATGTAAAATTGGTTTGGTTGTACATCCCGATGTAGTCCAGCCAATAATGGCAGCCACAGATAAGGGTGCAAATTTTGGTTTGGCTGATATGTAACTCTTCAACAACTTCCTGATATTCCCAAGGAAATCTTAGATCACAAGCAGCAAATAATCTTCATATACCAGTGCAAAGTTATTATATAGCTAGTTAACTTAATCAATACCTGAACATCCAAAAAAGTACAAGCAGCCTCGAGTGCAATTTCAAGAGCGCGGAACTCAAAGGGCAAATAATCAGGCGATGGACTCCTAAACATATCATTGGATGGGTTCCTGCTTCCTCTCCCGCTGAAGTCAGAATGTTCAGACTGCCAAGCCTCGCCAACTCCTCCTGCACATTGAAGCCGCCTCTGCAACTCCACTACATACTGCAGGACATAGCTATCAAGAGAGTTCAAAAGCAGGACATCGTCCGCCGTTATAATGCACCGGATCTGCTCAAGGTTCACGACAATGGCCTTCTCTCTTCCAAGTATTGTTGAGGGGTAGACGAACAAAGGATCAAGTAGACGTAGGTCGCGTGCCGGAAGGTCACAACGCCGCATCACAGTAAACTTGTCAACCTCAATCGCTTGAGAGTTCCCTGTAGCATCAACACGGATCCAGGATCTTAATCCTTGGCCACGCTTTTTAAGGCCTTGGACATCCAGGACTTGAAACGGACTACGGACAGAGGCAGAAACCCTATGAGATGAGTCCCTAAGATTTACAGCAGACGCAGGTTTTGGAGGAAGCAGGCGCTCTTTGTGATCAGGCATCACTAGTAAGCTGTACCCAAACACTGAAGTATATAGCTTGGCTTTAAAAACAATTATGTAAGCGAGTGATCAATACGCGTCTAAGCAATTAACAGAAGATAATGACAATCTCTGAACCTGACACTGTGAACTAAGCTTATATTGGAATCTGTTTCCTTTCTTATTCAATACATGATTTGGTATACAATCAAATTTGATAAAATGTAAAAACCTATCATGAACCTATAACCACAAGTTTGAATATTTGATTGAATTTTCTTGACAAAATTCCCGAATACAGCGGAATTTGGGGCTTTTCCATGATCTCAAATCCCGATTGTTCAAGCAAATACAAACTATAAGACCTATTTCTCACATGCAAAACGCGCAGAAACCTAAAGTAAACGTATAAATATCAGGTTTTGTTTTCATTTGAACATAAATTGTCCTGATAACTGAATTCAAAGAAGAAGGTTTTGAAAAATACCAGAAAACAGATTCGCTGTTAAGTGTGGCGTTTGGCGGTGCCAGCGGATCACGACAACCCTCGATTGTGTAAGGGATGTGACATCACGGTTGCGGGATTTCCAGACGGGGAACGGGCAAACAATCACTTTTTTATAGGCTGTAAAAGTATTATTCCCACAATTTACACAATCTCCGTCCTAAGATCAAATTCAACTGTTTTCTTTAGGACCGTGCTACAGTGCACCCGCCCCTGCCTCCTGTGGTGTCTCCTTATTTAAGTTTTTTTTTTACCTTTTCGCATTCTTTTTTTTCTTTTTTCTTTCCTCTACGACCCATTCGCAGGTCGCCGCCGACCGGTTCCCCTACCCTTCGCCGTCGACCTGTTCCCAGTCCCTCACCCCACCCTTCGCCGGCCTGTCCCTAGTCCCGCCGGCCAGTTACCCTACCCTTTGCCGTCGACCTGTTCCCAGTCCCTCACCCCACCCTTCGCCGGCCAGTTACCCTTCGCCGTCGACCTCTCCTTAGCCGCCGACCCAGCCTCTTCCTTCGCGGCATGTTCTTATCACTTTTACTTCTTTTCTTGAATTGTTACAATTTTTGTGTTATAATTTTTTGAATTTTTGTGTGTTAATTTTTTTGAATTTTTGTGTTATTGTAAAAAACTTAAAAACACCTCATGTATCCCTATTTGGTGATTATGGACTTACAAACATGTATTGTTACACATGTTGAGAATGATCAACCACATGATTTTGGTGGTGAAGAAGAAGACCTGGTTTTATATGACTTGCAGCCCAGTTGTAAGTGTTGATATTTAGACCCCATTCTATATTCATTTGAAGTAGTGAAAAATACTGTTTTATTTTGGTGTTACAGAGATTAAAGTTCTGTGAACCTAGGGTTTGTCCTTGTCACAGATGCTAATAATCTGTATGCACTCTGCATTTGGTGTATTTTTGTTTTCTTCATAGTCAGGCATTGTATTATATTAAACGTGATGTTTTTTTGCAGCTTTTGAACCAGATTTGTTTCTTAACGATCCTTGTTTTCAATATTTATTTAATGACGAAGGGCAAGAACAGGCGAGTGGTGAGACCGGACAGAACACATATGACATTAACAATCATGTCCGGAACAATGGTGAGACCGGACAGAACACATATGTGATAAGATTTTGAAGATGGTGTATGTGCATAAAGTTATGCAACTCTGTTGTCACATACATTAAATCTCTGTGTAATGGGTAAAGTAGGCAGTTATTCTTTGTGAGAACTCTGAAAGTAAATCTATAAATCAGTCATAAACTATATGAGTGTTTAATGTAAAACTGTATTGTATTGTAATTTGCAGCGCAGAGTGCATCACATACACTAACACATTGTGCATTAACAAGTACAAATTCATGATTATAAAAGCCCACATTACAAAGCACATAAATCATTACAAAGAGTTTCACAAAAGTAAAAGACCCCTAAAATTGTAAAGTAAAAATGCTAAATATTGGTTGTTTTCCTTCCACGCCATAACCTAGCTGCAAATTGACATCGGAAATCAGCCATGTGTTCAGAACTGCAGTCCAGGATTAATGGTAAGCCAACCAACAAAGACTCTAGAAATGCAAGCACCATCACTCCACAATTGTCATACCTGCAAGGGAAAATAATATTAAAAAAAAGTAGGGGGGTATGATTTTCACCACTCCATGGGAGTACCATAACGAAGTAATGGTGAACAAACCTAGAGTCCTGTTGCGGAATACCATTGACAACAATGGTTTCCCATTCCTTTTCCAAAGTGTTTGCACCCACACCCTTAACCGTGCGAAATAGGGGGTATTCTTCTTACTACTTCTTGAACATAAAATGATGATTTCGGCCCTTTCAAGGAGTCATAAACTCGAACATGATTTCGTAAGAGGTCTATTTCAGCTAGAACCCAATGTCTGCCATCTCCATTCACAGGCAAAAAAAACTATGCATCAAGGGAGAAAAAAAGAGCTAACTGTCTATTTTACAAAACACACAGATAGTTTATGTATGTGAAGAGAGATTCACATGAGTTTAAGTTCAAAGAATTCAGAAGAAGCATAGTACCTTTTCACAGACAATAATGTTATATGAAGTTCAAATAACAGAACTTAACCATCTATGTCATACAATTCACACAGTGAATGTGATAAAACTCTTGATAAAACTCTGGCAGTGAATGTGATAAAACTCTTGATAAAACTCTTGGTAAGAAGAATCAATCTGGCAGTGAATGTGATAAAACTCTTGAACCAGACCAAAAAAAGTTTTCATGGGCTAAAGCAGGATGTTCATCCGGAAAAAATATTTTGTCTATCCGGAACTAGTGAAACATATTCTCTTTGTGTTTTTTAGCATTCTTGAGTGTCAGTGCGTGTGATATTCTTAACCAAATAGCCAACCTCTTAGGTAATCTATAGTTCTCAAAAGAAGATTCCAAATTTACTCTTTTAAGTAATAGTTTTATTGAAGTGTGCTAAGCTCTAAGTTGGTATTGCCAGGTCGAGCTAGTCTATTTCCTCTACAAGAGGGATCTTGTCTACCTGATACCATAAAAACCTAATATGCTGCACAAGAATCACTATGTAGAATGATCTATAATTCTAACTTACTTTGGAATTAGCATCATACCTGCGTTGGAAGAGTGGACGGAGAAGAATGACTTCGTCGCAGGCTGCGAGTTGAAGCGGGAGAAGGAAGACCTGCGCTGGAGGAGTGGACAGAAAAGAAGGATAGAGATGAAGGACTTGGGAGAAGGGAGACCGTCGCAGATGCCGGAGAAGAAGGACGGAGAGGTTGTGGAGGTTGAAGTGGGAGAAAGGAGATTTGGGATTTTTGGGGCTGGAGACGAAAAGCCACCCAAAAAAAGAAAATTGAAAAAAAAATTAAATTTTAAATATATTGGGTGGCATGCTTGGAGGCACACATGGTGCCTCTTTAGCATTTTCCTTTTCTTTAAGCTCCAATTATCCCGTTTTCATATGGTTCAAACAAAGCATGTGTAAATTATTAACGAAAAAAATATGATGTGATACATAAAATAAAAATTAGTAGGGATAAAAATTATTGGAGTATTTGTTATTTTAAGAAATTAAATGTATTTGGGCTTGTATTTTATTTTTGGGCTTACGCCCTGTTTACTTGTATATATATCTGACCTTGTACATAATGAAACACCAAGAATTTATTTTCCTAAATTCTACATGGTATCGGAGCAATTTTTTGGAAAATCTCGTGCAGCAGTTCGTCGCTATCCAGTTCATTCGTCCATGTTAGCCTTCTAGTACAAGGCTGTCTCCATCCATCTGTTCTAGTTTTTGGCCGGAATTCGTTCTTCGTCAGCGCCGTCACAGCTCATCCAATTATCCAGTTCATCCTAACTGTCGTGTCACCGACATCACTGTTTATTGAAAACAGAGATTGAACGGGGTGAAAATAATAATATTCAACTTGTTCTTTATCAGCGTCTGGGTCATCCTTCTCCCAAGTCATCCTCTTTTGTGAGTCAAAATAATAGCACTTCCCCATTTACTATCATTATGAATAAAGCTGAGTCTATTTTTTATTTAATCCATTATGATATCTGGGGTCCTTATTGTGCATGTTTATCCAAGGGGCCCATTATTTTTTAACAACTGCTGACGATCATTGTCGTGCGGTTTGGGTCTACCTTATGAAAGCTAAAAGTGAAGTTACCTCTTGTCTCAAGCATTTTTTTTCTACGATTGCAACTCAGCATGAGAAAACTGTAAAAGTTGTTTGATCTCACAACAGTACTGAGTTTCTCAATAAGCCTCTTCTCCATTTTTATGATCAAATGGGTTTCCATGTTCAAACTTCATGTGAGGTACACCACAACAGAATAGTCGGGTAGAGCGTAACCATCGTTACATCCTTAATGTAGTGCGGACACTCATGTTCCAAGCATCACTCACTCTTGAGTTCTTGGGAGGATGTGTTAAAACTACAGTCTACCTCATAAATTGTATCCCCACTAAACTTCTGGGAGGTAAGTCCCTTCTTGAAATTCTTTCTTCCAAACCTTGTGATCTCAGTCATCTCCGTGTCTTTAGGCGTCTATGTTTTGTTCCTCAAAAACTCCCAAATAAATTTGCACCTCGTAGTGTCAAATGCATGTTTGTTGGTTATCCATACGGTACTAAGGGATGGCAAGTGTATAATATGGAAACTCATCATTTTTGTCATACTCGTGACGTTTCTTTTGATGAGTCTGTTTTTCCGTTCGCCATTCCTTCGTAATCATCATCCCCATCTCATGTCACATCCCATGCGAATTTCTTGGAGTCTACACGGGAACCCGCCACTGCCATGACCAAAACCCTAGCATAATCAACCCGACCAACAGAGGAACCCTTGACCCAACACCGTCCCCGTCGGTCATTCTAGTTTCGTCCACACTCATCTCTTCTTCTCAGCCAACAGTCACCCAAACGGAGGCTGAGGATCTTCCAGAGTCGTTTATTCCTGTTCCTCCTCCTTCACCCCCGGTCCGGCAGTCCTCATGTCCCCGTCATCCTCCCTCGTAGCTTGATGACTACATTTGTCACTTTGCAAAAGCTTACACTCCATTAATATCATCTTCTGTCCCGTCTTCGATTTCAGGTACACAGTTCCCTACTACTTAATTTGTTCAATGTGATAAGTTACATGACAAGTACAAAGGATTTTTGTGAGCTATGACGGCAAATACTGAGCCTCAAAATTTTCGTGAGGCTGTTCGAATTACCTCGTGGCGTGAGGCTATGGCTCAAGAATTACTAGCATTGGAGCGTAATCTTACGTGAGACATCAATAACCTTCCTTCGTTCCATCGTGCACTGGGATTTCAATGGGTGCATCGCACCAAGCTTTGTTTTGATGGTACTAAAGAACGTGACAAAGCCCGATTTGTTGTGTTGGGGATTCTTCAGGAGTTTGGGACTGACAACACTGATACTTTTGCACCTCTGGCTAAATTAACCATGGTGCGTGTTCTTTTATCTGTTGCTATTCCCAGGTCATGGGTGGTTCATTAGTAAGATGTTCATAATGTTGGGAAACAAGGCTTGGATAACGCAGCGGAAAACAAAAATTTAGAGTCC